GCCCCCACCGCCCCCGGCCCCTTCCTGCTTCGGTGCCTTGTCACTGCGCTGCGACTTCCCAACCCTAAACCAGGCCTCTGCCGCCCTTCTTGCCTGGCCGGGCCCAGAGAGCAATTCCAAGCTGGGGACGGGGACGAAGAAGGGGCGGGGGCTGGGGAGACTCCCGCACATCCTGCAGCTCTGCTGGCGGAAAGGTCCTCCGTGGGCCACCAAGGCCCCTGTCCACCTCTGTTGGCAGGTGTGGGGGAGGCCAGAGGAGGGCACAGCCTGTCCTCCAGCAGCTGGTGGGCAGCCCACCATCCTATCCCACCTGTTTACTGCAGTTTCTTCAGTCATCTAGAACAAGAAAAATTAAAAAGAATGTCCAGCCCTATCCGTTTCATGGTGCAGTTGCAGGGACACCTCTGCAGATTCACCCGTTATGGGGGGAGCTACCTTGTTCCAGGTGCAGGTGGTTCAGCCCGCAACCTTCACATGCCTGAGCCCAAATTTCCTCATCTACAAGGAGGAGTCACAAGAGGCCCCCCCTCTGCGGGCTGCCTAACTACGTGGGACGGGGAGGCTGCAGCCCCTTGGTGGGCGTGGCGAGGCCAGGGGGCTTTACCAGACACCCTCTCCTCTGCTAGCCTGACATGGCCACAGGTTTGATTTTTCTGAAGATCAGTACTTGCAGGCTTGAAGGAGGGTCTTGAGAATGGAGGTGGATGGCGTGTGAGGAAATACTTTCATGTCTGTCAGTCCCCAGGAGCCCTGGTTCCTGCTGGGGCTCTCTTCCATTAGCTCAAGGCCCCCAGGGGCCCTGGAGGATGGCACTATCCCAAGAGAGGGCAGCAGCTTCCAGAGCCTCTGAACAAGAACTCTGAGCCCGGGGGGGTGAGCAGTGCCTGCCCTTGGATGTCACTACCAAGCCTCAGTCTTGTGCACCTGTCAGGGCTGGGAAGCCAGAGGGGACTAATAGCCACTGTGCTCCAACTGTGTGTTGGACTCGGAGTTGGGTGATTTCAACATTATGTCATCTTGTTATCAAGCCACCTAGTGAGATAGGGATTGTTGACTCATTTTTAAATGAAGGAGCTTGAGCTCTGGCACCCAAGACTATTTGAATCCAAATCTCTTGCTCTCCTGCCTCTCGGGCCTGCCAGGGATGGCACAGTCCATTGAGTGGGGAGCAGAGGGTTCGCCTCTACTGCCGATACTGTCATTCTTTGGTAACCAGTCATGACAATGCCATGTGGGCAGGACCCTGTCTTCCTAGCCACGCAGCGCCTGGCACGTGGTGGGCTGTCCACAGTGCCTGTTGGACAAATGACTCCCAGGGACCTTCCAGGGTTGTGGGCCCCACCCAGCCCTTGCTCTGTGTTCTGGTCCCATGTCCTCAGAGGGACCTACTGCAGGCCTGACATCTGGTGTTGGCTTCTGGAGGCTTCCAACTGTGCCACTTCCAACTCATTATTGCTAATGCGTGGGGACACCCTGCATACGACAGATGCTATTAGTGAACCAAATTTTGTTCTACCACGAAGCAAAACTAACAGAGCATAAAGCAGGTTAGGAGGGGAAGATTGATGAGCCAAGGCCCCTGGAAAATAAACGAGGGATGTTTTCTTTGCCATATTACTCGTATTTATTACACTTGCTTTTCATTAAAGACCCAGAAACACCACTGGTCTCTGCTGCCCAGCGCTGAAGAGATGTCCTGCCGGGGCTTGCAGGGTGTGTGTGTGTCTCAAAGCTCGGGAGGGCACAGAGCAGGGGTGGGTTTATGAAACTTGGCTCAGGTCAGTGAGCCTCTGGGAAAAGGATCAATCTTGGGTCCAGCTCTGGGGAGACATCTGCTTTGGGCACTGGCAGGGGAGCAGGGCTAGGGTGGGTACCCTTCCCAGGAAGGCTTTACTCCAAACTAAGATCCTGGGCAGGGCAAGGCCTTGACGGATGCGCCAGTGGGGCAGTTCTGGCCAGGGGCAGCCCTGCAGGATTACTTTGGCACCTTGTTTCTGGCCCGCCAGTGGGCAAGGTTGATATTTGGGAACTAGCAGCAAATGGATACCACAAGGTAAGTGGCATGTTGCCCATGTCCTTGAGGATCTCACAGTTTAGTGGGGAAATCATTCATTCATTCATTCATTCACAAATATTTATGGACGATCTACTATGCTCTATTCTGAGAATAAGGGGTCCATCAGAGAACAAAATGGAGTCTCTGCTCTTCTAGACAAGTCAATGATATGATGACTCCCTCTCTTGGCATAAGTGCTCTGAGAGAAGGATGTGTGCAGAGAAGAGTCCCCTGTCACTTCTCAGAAGGGGCTTCACAAAACCGAGGTCTAGCCAGGCCTTGAGTTCACCGGGTCACCAGTCACAGCACCCAGGGAAGAGCATTCCAGAGGGTGGGAACAGCAGAGGCAAAGGCCCAGCTGCAGTAGGCTTAATGGAGTCTCCGTGGCATTGCAAGGACCTTGCCCTGTGGACTCAATATGACAATATGGAGTCATCAGAAGAGAGGGACATTCAGCCATCGAGGCACCATTCAGGCTGCTGAGGGAGGGTCCTTCTACTTCGTAAACACTCCAGGCCACCCATCCACCGCGTGAAGAGGAAGGAAGGACTGACCTGGCCACAGCCACGTTAAGCAGGGGTAGTGTCACTGCCTCGAACCCTGGCCTGTCTCTCTCTAGTGCCCCCCTTCACACACACACACACACACACACACACACACACACACACACACACACACACACACACACACACACACACACACACACACACACACACACACACACACACACACACACACACACACACACACACACACACACACACACACACACACACACACACACACACACACACACACACCCCTGTGTGCCCTGTAGTAGCGTCCTCTCTTCTGCTTCCTGTCTCACCGGGAAGGGGGTAAACTCACCAGGAAGGGCCTTCCTCCTGCAGGGGGTGCTGCTGCTCTCCAGGGAGTGAGATCAAATTAGGGTTTGCCACTCCAGCTCTACCAGGGACAGTAAGCCAGGGAAAGGGCCATTTGGCTGTGTGTTTTGTGTTTCTCCTCTATCATCTGGCACCCTGGAGAGGAAGGTGATTTTCTCCAAACCCAACCCCTAACATCTTGGCAGCCAGTAATAGGACCAGCATTTGAGAGCAAAGGGTCACGTGGGGAAACTGAGGCTTCTGGTGCTACTGCAGGCGTAGCTTAAGCATGCCCGGACCATGTGGGCCTCTCAACAAAGTCCCTACTATGCGCCAGGAGCTATGCCAGGCCCTGGGAACACAAGGGTCAAGAAGACAGACAAGGTACTTGCTCTCTTGGAGCTGAATATCCTACTAGGAGGTGGGAGGTGAAACACACCAACAAGATGATTTCAGATAATGGACACGTGAAGGAGTAAGACAGGGAGCTGTGGTACAGAGTGCCACAGGCGGGGTGGGCCCCCACAGCGGGGGGGTGACACTGACGCTGCAGCCAGAATGGCAAGCAGCAGCCGGCTGTGTGGAGAACGCAGGAGGGAGCGTCCCAGGCAGACAGAAGGGGCAACAGCAGTGGTCTCCCTGCGGCGGAAACCAGCTTGATGTGTCCAAGAAACACGAAGAAGGCAAAGTGGGTGATGGGAAGAGTCACAGCGGAAAAACTTGGTGACAGAGGCTGGGCCAAGACATCAAGAATCTTGCAGCCCATGGCAACAAGTTTCATTCTAGACATGATGTGAAACCATGACAGGGTTTTAAGCAGGGGAGTGACAATGTGTAACTGTATTAGTCTGTTTCTGTTGCTTATAACAAGTACCTGAAACCAAGTGATTTATAAAGAAAACAAAATTTTAGGGCTGGCCTGTGGCTCACTTGGGAGACTGTGGTGCTGATGACACCAAGTCAAGGATTAAGACCCCCTTACCGGTCATCTTTAAAAAAAACCCCAACCCCCCCCCCAAACCCAAAATTTATCGCTTTCAGCTTTGGAGGCTGAGAAATCCGACATCCAGGGAACACATCTGGTGAGGGTCTTCTTTGGTGGTGGCTTTACAGCAACACAGGGGTCTCATGTGGGAGAAAATAGCAGAGCAGAGAGAGACTCTCATGTGCTCTCTTTTTAAAGTCCTCAGAACCACGCCCCTGACCACCATTATTAATCCATTCACTGTGGCTTGATCCTACAATCTAATCACCTCCTCAAGGCTCCACCTTTCAATTACCATAAGAGGATTTCCCACTCTCAACAGATATAGTGGGGATTAAGCTTCTAATATATGGACTTTGGGGGACACAATTCAATCAATCCACAGCAATTTTTTTTTTTTTGCTGGCTGGTACAGGGATCGAACATGAGACCTTGGGGTTACCAGCCCCATGCTCTAACCAACTGAGCTAAATGGCCAGTGTGTGAACTTGTTTTTAAACAGACCTTTCTAATAGCCAAAAAGCAGAAACAACTCAAATTTCTACTGGTGAGTGGATAAACAAAATATGGTACAGTCATGGGTCACTTAATGGCAGGATGGGGATACGTTCTGAGATATGTGTCCTTAGGTGATTTCGTCATTGTGGGAACACCGCAGAGTGTACCTACGCAAACCTAGATGGTGTAGCCTACTGCACTCCTAGGCTTTGTGGTATGGCCCATGGCTCCGAGGCTACGCACCTGTACAGCATGTGCTGTACTGAATACTGCAGGCAGTTGTAACACACGGTAAGCATTTGTGTATCTAAACATATCCAAACATAGACAAGATAATGTGTTTACTACGATGTCGCTATGCAATAGGAATTTTTCAGCTCCATTATAGTCTTAGGGGACCATCGTGTGGTGCATGGGGTCCTTATGCGGCACGTGACTGTATATCCATATAATAGATATTATTTGACAATAGAAAGGAACGACACATGGATACCTGCTACGGCATGGATAAACCTCGAAAGCGTTATGCCGAGTGGAAGAAGTCACACACAAAGACCACAGATTGTATGATTCCATTTATATGAAATGTCCAGAAGAGGCAAATCCATAGCGATAGAAAATAGATTCGTGGTTGCCTGGGGCTGCAGTGGGAGAGGGGAGTGGAGGGTGGGAAGTGACTGCTAATGGGTACGAGTCTTCTTTCTGGGGTGATAAAAGGTTCTAAAATTAGATTATGATGATGGTTGCAGAACTCGGTGAATATACTAAGACACGGATTGTGGATTGTATACTTTAAATGGGTGGATTTCCTGGCATATAAGTGACATCCCAATGAAGCTATTTTGTAGGGGGTTTTGTTTGTTTGTTTGTTTGGCTGGCAGCTGGCCGGTACAAGGATTCCAGCTCTTGACGTTGGTGTTACAGCACTGTGCTGTATGTAACTAACTGAATTAACTAGCCACCTTTGCTTTGTTTCGGGTTTTTTTTTTTTTTCCTAAAGATGACTGGTAAGGGGATCTTAACCCTTGACTTGGTGTTGTCAGCACCACGCTCTACCAAGTGAGCCACAGGCCGGCCCTTTGTTTCGTTTTTAAAGACCTTTTTGGTTTCTGGGTAGAGAATAGACTTAGAGGAGTAAGAGGGGAAGGAGGGAGACGGAGGCTGGTGCAGTCTCGCAGGCAGAAGAAGACAGGGACCTGGGTGCGGGCGGGCGTTGATGAGCCTGAGAGGTTGGAAGTGGAGGACTGCTGGTGGAGGGCATCGGTGCTGGGCTTGAGCTCGGTAGAGGCTGCAGCACGGTATCAAGGAGGCAGCTGTATGTATGTAGGTCTGGAGCTACGCACTATAGGGAAGGCAGGGCATGGGTTTGGAAGTTGCCAGCCTATAAATGACATTTAAAGCCACAGGATTCAATGAGATCATCAAAGGAGAGAGAAGAGAAGGAGCCTTTGGCCTTTGTGGGCACAGATGCTGTGTGACTTGGAAGGTTGAGTGGCTTTGGCTGGACTCACAGGCATGGGCTGGGGCTGTGATTAGCCAAAAAGTGGATTAATTTGAGGGGTCAAGACAAGCTCCACTTGGTTCTCGTGCTATCCAGGCAGGGAGAGAGATTTGCTTCCTGGGGTCAGGAAAGGCCACTGAGATTCTGCCCAAATGGTCAACTTTATTCCAAGCATCATGGGTGCAGAGACCCCAGGTTAGTTAGCCTGTCTGCCCACTGGTCTCAGGGGGTCATTGAAGGAGACCAATGCCTGGGGCCAGCCCCGAATTGGTCGGGGGGAAGAAGGGGCATTTTTGCAAGCTCCCCAGCGATTCTGACGCTCAGCTAGGATGGAGAAAATGCAGACAGCTGAGTTCCACATGAGCTACAGAAAATGAGCTTGACATCTGGGGACCTTCAAATGGTTAGTGTCAGGCACAGGCAGATGATGCTGGATCAGCTACCCCGAATCCTGCTCCTCCTGTGTTGTCTGTTTTGACCTGTGTCTGGGACCAAGGAGAGAACAGGGTTATGGTGATCAATTGTCCTGGTTTGCTCAGGACTGACCGGGTTCCTGGGATGTGGGATACTCAGTACTAAAATAGGGAAAGTCAAAACCAGGATGAGCTGGTCACCCAAACAAGGGAGGGACATGTCTCAGACTGCATCCGAGATGCTTTATTTCATAGACTCTGATCTTAGTTTTAACCACGAACAGGTAAAAGAGGGCTTTATAATGACCACACAAAAAGGCATGAGCGCCCTTGTCACGTAGGAGATAAACTGTTACAAGTTGTATCTTATAAAGTGAGACAGAGAAAACTCAGTGGAATGATTATAATCCAAAGACTAAGTAGGGAATTTAAAAGTTTGTGCCTGCAATTAGCTGATGGTAACAGAGGTCCACATAGGGCTTGCTCTGGGGATGGCAGACATTGACTGGAAGAAGTGTAGGGGGAGCTTTCTGAGTGCTGGAATGTTCTCTATCTTGATTGGGGAGGTGGTTATATGGGTGTGCACATAGGTAAGCATTCCTCGAGCTGGACATTTAAGAATAGTATTCTTGGGCCGGCCCGGTGGCGCACTGCTAGAGTGCGCCGCTTGAGAGTGCAGCGGCGCTCCCGCCGAGGGTTCGGATCCCACATACAGACCGGTTCCCGCTCACTGGCTGAGCGAGGCGCGGGAGCAACACCGAGGGTT